AATATATAATAGATGAATTAATATTTCAAACTAAAATAAATAATAATTAAATTATAAAAAGAAAATTTAACAACAATAGCAACATTTACTCACTTTTGTTTATTAGACATTAACTTACATCACTTAGCATCTTCCATAATTTACCTTGATTTGAAGTTAGCCTGATTTGTATCTAAACATTCTTAAATTTAAAAATTCTGAAAAAACTAATGAAATTTTTATGTTTGTTTATGAATTCTAGTTGCAAAATAAAATCTTTACATTTACCTTGATAAAGTCCATTAGAGGAGGAAACATTAACAATGTTTTGCCATTATTCATAAATACACACATACACATATCAATTGGTATGAGAAAAAGTGCTCAATGTTTGAAAAAGTGAGCAATCTGAGATATATATATATATATGTATGTATGTATGTATGTGTGTCTGCATCATTTTAAATGTTGTTTTTAGTGGATACTGGTATTTGAGTAGGTGCTCTATTTATTTATTAAACAGTATATTTATTTATTTTAACCAGCTGGCCTGAATATTTGAGAAATCTTATTAAAGAAAAATTAGTATCCTTTAATAAGATTTCTTGAATATTCAGGCTGGTAGGTAAAAATAAATAAATATACTATTTAAGAAATAGACACAGTGCCTACTCAAGTACAAGTATCCACTAAAATTGATGTTTAAAGTGACACACACACACACACACACACACACACACACACACACACACATACATATATATATATATATATATATATATATATATATATTTTTGTTCAGTGTTTGTTGCTTGTGATATAGGGCCTCAAAATTTTAAGTTTTTGTTTATTTTTCCTTGATTAAGATCAAGAAGATAATTAGAGAACTAGAAAGGATTATTAAAAAAATAAATAGACATAATATGTCTATATTATACAATGAAACATGCTTGAATGAAGATATGCTGCCTAAATATATATAAGTATATAAAGATTATATATATAAGCTTATGATCCCCTTCTGATAAAAAAAGTAATTTATTCAGTTCTCTACTTATAACTTTACAAGCTGAATATTTTCTGTGTGGTGAACAAAGCATTTATAGAAAATAAACCAGGCAATGAACATGGAATGTGAGAATTAATGTCTTCCTGTTTTGCTTTGAGACAGAAATATTCAGAATTTAGTGATAGTAGATATACTTTTGATATGGTCTGTCTTTTCCCTTCATCATTATTTTAGGCAAGAAAATATCTTCAGCATCACATTATTTTTAGAATTACTTCTTATCTCTTTTATCACTATGGGTTTCACTGAACTTCAAACTAAGTTGGTCTATATAATTTGACCAGAATGTCTTTGAAATAGTTTTCAGTTGATATCTCATAGTTTTTGTAAATGGTACAAGTTCTTTCACTTTACATGAATCATTTAACCTTTATCTTGGCAGCCATTTATTGGCCTGTTCTCTTGACTGCTCGCAAGAAGTGAATATACAAGATCACATGAAGAAATTAACCCTGGAAGATGTATAATGCTGGATCAATCTTTTGTTTGATGTTTTGCTTAAGTCTTTCAGCATCTTTTGAGATAAATCATATGTAAAAGAGCACGCAAAAGAGCAATCTTATGACAAGGGGGGAGGCTGATGTTAAAAAATATAGACAAGTTGAAAAATAGAAAATAAAAAAGTAGAAAACTTAAATATATATAATAATATATTTATTGATGTTTGTATTTCAATTTCCAATATATAAAGATTACCATGTGTCATGAGAAAGATATAAACTTCAAAAGAGAAAGTAGATATTATCAAGTTATTGAGTGACGAGAACAGAATATTAGTAATTGCAAAAAAGTTAGAGAGTGATCATAAAACAATCAAAAAAGTAATTGAAAACACTGGCAAGATAAAAGCAAGAAAAGAAAACTGGCTTTAAGAAAGTCTCAAGAAGCAATTTGTGAAAATTAAAAGGGTTATGAGATCTTAGCTGTGGCATGTAGGCATTATGAATTTAAGTGCAGTACTAGATTGACAACAAAGTCTCATCAATTTAGAGTTGGATTGGCTATGTACCTGTAAGTTCTATGCTAACAGATTTAAATGTTAACAAGATTGAAGTGGAGTAATATCTTGGGCTAGTATTGTAGGTGGAAAAATTTTAGGTCCCTTTTAAAGATGATGATATCAAGATAAATAGAGAGAATTATTTTAAGTTCTTGGATAAGATATTTTTAGATTAAATTATAACCAAGAAACTTTATGCTAAAGAGTTCATTCATCACTAAAGTTAACCAATGCTCATCTTGCCAAAGAAAAGGTTTCAAACAGTAAATTAATGGAATAATCTTCAAACTGCCCAGATATTATTCCAATAAAGAACTTATAAAAAAAGAGAAATTTATGAGAATGGAAAACAATATTCAATTAACAAAGATCTCTGCTACAAATCATGTAAATTTTAAACAGTAGAAAAGTTTAAAAAAAAAAAAAAATCAATGATTGAAAGACTGATGAAACTTATAGAATGTGAAGGAGTCTATATTAACATGTAAAATAATAAGTTATTCAAATATATTGAATATGGTGTTAATGAAATTTTGGATGTATAATGAAATGGATAGTGGCACAGAATGAGAAATTGGAGTCCTGAGTTTAAATTCCAGATGATTTCATTGCATTTACTTACATGAAAATACTCTTGGGAAAAGTATGAATCCATTTCTTCTCCCTACAAGATTATAAGGTTGAATAGTACAGCTGAGTGGAGTCTTTAACTATGGTTAGTAACAAGTCTAATAGAATAATTCTGAATTCAAAACCAGTTGGGCATTGTGTTAGCAACTCCATCTTATAAAAACCTACTACTTCCTATAGAAACCACAGCAGTAATGTCTAGAGAACTGAGACCTGTGAACCCCTACTCCTCAGTTTGTCTTACAGGACTTGTCACTGTGTTAATGAAAAATAGCTTAGTGTGCTTTATATCTTTTAGACTTATAAATTAAATTCTGTTTTTTCATTTGTTTGCATAATAAAACCTGAAAAAAATCAAAATGAATTATTATAGTTATCTTTTAATAAAGATAAGTATTATTAGCTGAAACTCAAATGATATATTGCATAGATACAAGTACATATTGGAAACTTCACCAAAATCAGTTGTTTAGTACCAATTTTATTATGAAAACTGTTGACTTGCATAATAAAATCTAACATCATGTCTGTTATAAGGTAACTGATGCTATTTATATGAAATCAATTTTGATCTTTTAGCACTTTATGAAGTTGAAATACCTCCAAGGGTAAATATTTTCTGAGTTATCACGAAAATGAAAAAAGAAAAACTTTTCACATGTACACACCTAATGGTGAAAAGCTTATGCTGTTGGCAGAAGATCATTGTCAGTGTTCCAAGAATCCACCTGGTTAAGTAAATCTATTTATCTTACTATATATATATATATATATATATATATATATATATATATATGCAACATGATACATGGTATAATATCAGTTGATCAGAGTTATGCAGATATGACAAAATTATTAAATTGCATCAGATCAGAAATGAAACTAACAAGTGTGTTTCCTCTCTATTTTCATTAAACGCCTGTATCTCTTGCATCGGCTTCTCTCTGCTTGCTTTTCGGAAAGCACCTGCTTATTTCCTCACTCACTGACAGGTTTATAATCACTGCACACATGTTTGTAACAGTTCTCAATTTCCCTGCTAGCCAATAGAAAGCTTATTTCCTTGTTCATCTCTAATTGTGAAATTATAGCCCTGGGGTCTTCCAACTCTTGCTCATTAGCCACCCCTCACTCATTCTGACTGTTACTGGCACTTCCTCCATCTGTAATGTCATATAGAGATCACCTCCCTTTCTGTTGGCCGCTGTCCAGAAATTACACGGTTCTACCACCAAGCACTGGTTGCTGCTGTTAGCTGTCTGAAGACTCTCCATTACCAGCAAGTTTTGAAATGTTGGCCCAAGACACAAACAAGGGATGTGGGGAGGCAAGGGGGGGAAATTTATAATTGTCTCAATATACATGTTTCTTTCATTGACTATTCAAAAACTCATTGATGGGTTTTATTGCCTGTTCCTCTTATCTGAAATCTAATTAATAAATATTCACCATTTTCATTATTGATGTTTTCTTATCATTTTACCACAAGCAAGGCAATAAAGCCACTGAAATACAAGGAGTTTTTGATTGTGAAAGAATAAGAAAAAGAAAACATTAATAAGGAGTGAGAACAATAAAAGATGATAAATCAAGAAGACATTGCATTTAAATTTTTGAAGATCAAAGTTGGCAGGAAAGTGAAAAACTGGAAAAGAGTTCCACAGGCAAGAAATGTGAGAAAAGAAATTGTTATTAAAGAACTTACAGTTGCATCTAGCCAATTCAAGTGTAAAATGATGAGACCTTGTTGCCAATCTAGTACTGTGATTAAATTCATAAATACCATAAAGTAAAGTGATATTTATTTTGCATTAAAATACAAAAATGTGGCCCAAAGCCAAAAGAGGGGATGGGGAAGGCTGGTCTTCTCTCTTATAATTAAACTTACCTAGCCACAATCACTGAACCAAATATACAACAAAATTTCTCACACCAAAACAACACATTCTGACTACATTCACCGTAATACCTCAGAAGTCCTTTACTAGTCCCCATACGTATGATTCTTGTTTGTCGGGGGAGGGAAATAAAACAACAATTTAAAAATTTAAACACCAATTTGTATTTATAATATGGCATAGGATATTAACAAGAAACCAAACAAAACAATAGAGGAAAGTTCATAATAACAATTACCATGAAAGTAGTTATAGAAAAAGCTCAAGGAAGCTACATTTTGGTAGTGGGATTTTCTTTGGTCAGTACTTTAATTCTATGTTGTTCAGCACTTGAGGATTTTTCTCACCTTCATCTAACTTCATCCATAGCTCGCACTATCACATTGTCAACCTGTTTGAACATTACTGTGGACTTGTTTTTCAGGATTTTATTGGATCTGGGGCTCCATTTGACAAACGGCAACTAATTAGCAAGCAAGCTGATTGGGCTAAAAGCAGCAATGAACCACGGATTGCTGCAGAAATGTATTTGTCAGCTGGTGAATACATAAAAGCTGCAGAAATCATGGGAGAACATGGCTGGTCTGATTTGTAAGTAATTTTAGTGTTGATTTTGATAACACAGAAATAAGTTCATCATATTGTTAATTTCTGACCTGTGTTTTTTTTGTTGTTCATGAATAGCAACACATTTTTATAATTGTGTATATTTTAGCACTTCATTCAGTTTCTCTGCCATGTACACTTTTAGAAATATTTTTATGTTTTCAGTAAAGAGCTTGTGTTTGTAAAGGTAGCACTATTCATTATTCCTGATAATGTGATCCTGTGTAAAAGTTGCTGGTTACTTTTAGATTGTAAAATTGTGCCTTTTAATCTAAACTATTAGTCTTTCATGAATCAGATACATACACTATTATCAGATCTTGTGGCCCCCCTTCTGATAGAGCAGGAAAGATATAATATCATACTAAAAACTGACTGTGCAAAATTTTCTGTCATCTAATATGAACTAAGTTTTAAAATATAAATAAGCATGTTTTCAGGAATCTCAAACACTCTTTGCTTCATTTAAAGGTTTATTAATGACAAAAGAAGTACATCTAAAACACAATGGAAAGGGAATATGGTTAGTCATGGTAAACTATATATGAAATAGAAATGATGGTGATACAATATAACTATGGAGTTATATTCTTCTACACCCTCCTCAAGTCTTTGGAGCCATGGGACAAAGATTGAAAATAAAGGTCATGAGAAAGCATATAAAATGTTGAACAAGAACAGTTTATGGCCTCTAACTAGAGTTTGTCTGATTGACCATGTAACACTGTTGGCACATGCAGGTGTCAATAGTCAGAATGCCAATCATGAGCTAGATTTTGTGTCAGCTTTTCTCAGTCATGCAGAACATCAGACAAAGTATGTGTTGGGTGGAGGAACTGTGTGCTGGGGTGTTCCTTGAGGCCAGGGGCATTGTGTGGCATTATAGTGCGAAGGGCTCTCAGGGTGTGACCACTGATGAGGGTGACACTGGTTACTAGGGGTTGATGGAGTTGTCACTGTTGGAATTGTTGGTTTTGCTTGAGCAACCCTTGGGGCTAGTGGAGTGAAGGGATTTTTAGGCATGGTGGTATCAGTTTCTGATGGTGAGCAAAGCTGGTTAGAAAGGGGGATAGGGGCTCAGCCTGAGGTGGCTGTGGCTTGGTGTTGAAGGGGGTTTGCTGGAATGGGTACACCATGATGATTTGTCAGAGTTGTTGGCACCAGGGTTTCAGTTGGGCCAAGAGCCATGAGTAGCAGTGTATGGCGTTTAACTGGAGAGAATTTCCAAAGGAATTTCCTGTTGCATAATGTGACATGTCCTGAGCCATCCATCCTCACTATGTACTGAACAAACTGGTGCACCTCTACCATGATACCAGTGGTGTCCCACTTAGTAGGGTTAGGCCCAATTTGGTTCTGAATGCAGATGCAGTCACTGATTGTCAGCAGCGGAAGTGAGTGAGTGTGTTCTGAATCGCTGGTGCGCATGTAGTGGATGTGTAGGGCTTCTTCATGAGAGATCAGAATTTCATGCCAGGTGTGTGTCCCAGTCAGGAGTTTTCCTATACTCTAGTACAGCATGCTGAAATCTGTCAGTGTCAAAGGATCCATTGGTGCTGTTGTTGTCGTGATGAAGTGCTTTATTGTCGTAACACCAACTTTGGAATGGTAGTTACTGTTGGGAAATGCAACTGAAGAAATTCTGTGGTGCACTCCCCAATTGCAGAGCAAAGTAGCTGTGTGTTTCGAAGTAGATTCTGGTAACCTGTCCGACGTTAGTTGATCAGCAATGCCATATGTTACAAAGATGCAGCACCATTAGAAGCCTTGTCCACAATGGGCTAATTGCTGTATCAATCTACTCCCATGAAATAGTTGCAACTGTGGTACTGGAAGTAATCTGCTATGAGGCTCTGCAATGGCTAGGTCAGGATTATAGGAGGAGTAGGGGGGACACATTTGGTGTGAATGTGCCATTTGGTTGCCTGGTGAACAGCATGTTTGCATCTCGTTAATGGTTGGTGTCATGCCTGGCCAAAAGAAGGAAGCCCAGCCTTGTGGCACATTTGGGTGATGGTTTGGAAAACCAAATACAAGGCTTGGAGAACCTGGTTGCTTAGTGTAAGAGGGTATGACAATCTGGTCATGACAGAGGATGACCCCGTAGATGCTGGTAAGTCTGTTGCCGGACTGGAAGTACTGTTGTAGCTCTTGTTACAGTCCTCTGGAAAACCCTCTTTGATCATTTCCACGAGTCTGATGATGTTGGGGTCACTGGATGTAGCTACATAGACCATATACCATGTGATGGATTGGATCACTTTGGTAGTGGGTGATGGAGAGTCTTTGTATATGCATACCTGACTGTCATCCTGTTGTGCCATGTGGATAGCTGTGAGGAAAGACTGTGGCAGAGAGTGGGGGGTTAAGTGGCTTGATTGCATCTATCATTTTTGCAATGTCATGTGGGTGGTTCAGTGGTGTGGGGGTCTCCGACAGGGTCACATGAGATGGCAACAGCCACACCATGGTGAACACCTGGTATGTGAATGATGCTGAATGTATAAAACAGTGACTTTATTTGAGATTATGCAGTCAAGGGTTAGAGATGTTGTTAAGACAGCGGTCACTAAATACTTTCAGGAGATGCTTATGATCAACAACTATGATCAGATTGAAGCACCCAAGGTTTAAGTAGTGGGCCTTATACAATGAATCCACAATTGCAAGTACTTTGCCCTCCATAGGTGTGTATTCAGATTCTGCTCCTGAGGTGAAGTGGCTCCTGATCAGGGTAATCTTCCAGCCAGACTTGCAGCAGAAGGATTTGGGGAAGCGGCACTAGCAATGTTTTTGGAACAGCCAGAATGTTTGCTCCAGTCATTGACAAGGCAGATGGTTGATCAGGCTGGACCAGCTGTGGATGTCAGTGATGTTCCTTGACACAGGAAAATCTCAGCTGGCCTCAAGGTACTTGACTGCACAGTAGTAAGGGTTATCTGAAATCCTGCAAATTTGACAGTGGATTCAGAATGATGGCATTCAAACCTCAGGTGTTTAACTATTGGATGGCCTAAAAGTATGTCTCCTCAGTGATGTCAGTTCACATCAAGGTGTCATCAATGCATTTAGTTTTGTTGGGGAATTCTGAGATAATCTCGTCAAACTAGCCATCCCCCAAGGCAATGTATCCTTGAGGTACAACACAATAACGTTAGTGACCCCAGGGTGTGATAAAAATTGTGAAGTAGTGGTCTTCTTCTTCAAGAGCGATGCTGTAGTAACCATTCCAAGTGTCAGATAGTTTTGCAGCTGTTAGGCAGAATTGTGCCAGCTTGGTTAAATGGAGACTGGGTGTGGTGTATCAGGCGAAATGTATGTCGATTGAGTGGTTGGAGGTTGTCTGTTTATCATGGTTTCCCTGATTTTTTGGGGTGAATCACCATCCTATGGCATCAAGTGATTGGTGTGCCTCTATTACTCCAAGGAGGACATCACGGTTGAGACCTACTTTCACATCATCCTGCCAGTGGACACAGAATGGGATGGGCATGTGGTAAGTGACTGGTTTGGTGTCGGGATTGATCATTATACAAATTGGTGGACTGGACATCCTGGGAAGATGTTGATGCTCACAGACCTTAAATGTACTGCAGCTGTAATATTCCAGTAGCCACTCCTCCAGGTGGCCTTGGTTCTCCTCACTGGCTGAGAATGGAAGTGATATGGGATTAGGTGGTGGTTGGTGTCAAGGGCAGCTGCATGTGCTCTGAGTCAGCTTGCTGGGTGCATTGGTTATTGTCGCTGATGTTGTATCCATTGAGGTGCACATGTTCTCATGATTTTCTTCAGTTGTGGGGAAGTTGACAGAGATCATCCTGAGAGCAATGCAGGCTTGCTTGGAGAGGAAGAGTTTATTGTTTGAGGAGTTAAAGTAGACAATTTGGTGGGTCTGGTGCTGAATGTGGCAGATCCGGATATTCTCAAGATGAGAGCATCGTTGATGTCAACAGGGCTGCTGGTCATCTTCATGTTGATTGGTATGAGATGATGCCGGTTCAGGCCCAGTCTAGACAGGAGATTTGTCCCAGTCAGCATTAGGGGTACTGACTGCATTGCAGATGATGTTGAATATAGCAGTAGCATGATCATTTGTTTCTACTGCGTGTGTTTAGGTTCGTTGCTGGGGATGGAGTCTTTGGTGGCAGACACTCTAATAGTGGTGTAGGATGCCACATTTGGAGCAATTGTGGTTGTAGGCAGGGCATGTATGTGGCATTCATGGCCTTGTTTTCCACAGTGACTGCAAGGAGCAGCTGAGAGTTGCTGGACATATCATGTTGGTTCCTCCCTTGACATCTTTAGGAGTTGAAGGTAGTTGCTGTTGAGTTGATACCATGGCTCATGAAATGGCTGATTGAACACTTTCTGTTTTCTTTCACTTCAACATATTTCAAGGCCTCCTTGAGGGTCATGTCTTGTGAATCACTGAGGATATCCAGGTGGATCTCTCATGTGAGTGTCATAAGTGTGGCATGAGTTTGAAGGGCATTCCACTTTGAAATTACAAACTCCAGCCTGCACTCATAGAAGGCCCTGATTGGTTCATCCCTGTCCTGACACATATGTTGGTTGCACAAAGGCAACCATAAAGTTTTCTTGGTGGGTGGCTAGAGACTTGATATTGTGAAGTACTGTTTGCATGTCAGTGTAGGCTAAGGCACCGAATTTCCATGTGAGGTCCTTCCTTAAGGTTTCATCACAGCACTCCAGTAGCTGGAAAACAGCATCATTGTGATCGAGGTGTGTAGCACTTTTATAATCTGGCCATCTCTGTACAAAGTAAACCCACTCTTCACTTGTCCCAGCTACGGAGAGGAGGGGGGCATCATATTTTCTCAAGTGTAGTGCTTTGTGTAGTGGATAGTGGTGTATTCATGCTATGAACAGTGATGCTGTGAATGTTGATAAGGCAGATGAGCATCTCTATGGGAGTGTTGGCAGACAATGTTGTGTTGCAGTTTGGTGCCGGGCAGGGTATGTAAAACACAATGGAAAGAGAATATGATTAGTCAAGATAAACTGTATATAAAATGGAAACAATGGTGATAGAATATATAACTGTGGAGTTATGTTCCTTTAAGGATATCAGTTTGGGGAGACCATCCTAGTGTGTGGCCCTGTTAGGAAATAACCAGTTGATACTCAAGTTTGTATTGCTTTTAGTTTTATTTGACTGGGATACACACAAATCCTTCATCATGTTGATTGTTATGAAATGCCATTCTTTTTGGTTTAGCTCTCACATTTTTTCAAGATAGTTTAAATTCTTTTAGCATATGCTTGAATTCTTTGTTCAAACCTGAACATGTTCCACTGGTTTTAGAGTAGAAAGATAAATTATATGAGACTGACTGCTGAAAAGCTGAAGCAACACAAGATGTGGTAAACTCAATAACTATTTTATTCAAACTCTGCCGCTCGATCTGTTTGCTTCCAGCATTCTCTAGTGGGACTAGAAGTGCTTACAATCATCATCATAATCAACATTATTGATGTTGTTATAACATCCCTCTTCCTAAAGTAATTTATTTTCTTTATTAATTTATTTCTAAATTTTTCAAATTACAAAATAAATAATTACAATTTAAAGATTGTTTTCACAAACCAAAACAAACAAATATTTTGGAATATAACATGTCTCACTGGGCTTAGGGGGGAAAGATAAATTATATGAGACTGGCTGCTGAAAAGCTGAATCAACACAAAGATGACACGAGACATGTTAAACTCAACATCTATTTTATTCAAACTCTAGTGGGACTAGAAGTGCTTACAATCATCATAATCAACATTATTGATGTTGTTATAAACAGAACATATAAGCTAGCCAATCTTCTAACAGTAACATTTGCAGCAGCCAAACTCACCTCTGTAGCAGCTGATCTGTTACAAGGAATTACTGAGTGTTAGAGAATATGAGAAAAATATACTGTTAAGGAAAGAAGACAATAAAAGAACAGGAATTAAGAAGACAAAAGATTACAATTGACATTGCATTTACATTTTTGAAGATCAATGTTGACAGGGAAACAAGAAGCTGGAAGAGTTCCACAAGTGAGAAGTGAAAGAAAAGAAACTGTTAGCATAGAACTTACTGTTACATCTAACCAAATCAATTGTTTTAATGATCCCATTGTGCAGACACCATTGGAAAGTGCCTGAAAAGCATAGCAGAACTCTAACTAAGGCAAGTTCACCCCAAGTAAGGCAGTAAAGCCACTAAGATGCAAGGGGTTATTGGAAAGGGTGAACATATTAGAAAACAGAAATATTACTAAGGAATGAGAACAAAGGAAGAGCAATCAGGAGGACAGCAGATAGTGATTGTCATTCCATTTAAATTTTTGACAGGAAAAAAATGGAGCCAGGTAAGTTACATCTTGCCATTTCAATTGTAAAATGATGAGACTTTGCTGCCAATTTAGTATTGTACTTAAATTCATAAAGTATTAGTATCATACATGAAAGTTCATCAGAACTATATAGTGTTGGAAAATGTTATTAAAGTCTAGTATCTAGATGTTCAATTCAATAAATTGAACATCTTTATCATGAATGAAAGCTATCTTCTCTTTTCACCAGCATTCTCAAGCCATCTTGATCTATCCTCAAGGCTTTTGTCAGATAATTCAAATCTTATTAAAATGCAATGTCATTCAAGTTTCATGCCTGAGTTTCTTGTGGTTTATGCCTTCTTTATCATCTAAGTCTTTATTTTAAATTCTTTATGGTTTACAAAATCCCTATGTACCTGCTTTGTCCAATTTCCTGAAAGTTAAGTTATTGATATCTTCTGATACTGGACTCGATATCCTAATCATTCTTTGGCTTGTCTGCAGTTTTCTTTGGATAAACTGTTGTCATCTTGACTAGTTTCTCTATTGATGTAATATAATGTAACTTTTGGTGATAATCACATTCATGTCACTGACTTGATTTCTTGGGTCCCATTTATGAACATTCATTGACATACTATTTTGGGCATTTGTACATGAATTCAGACAATAAAAGAATTCAATTCATTAAAATTTGTAATTTTAATGTTTTTATAAAAAAAAAGAAAAGAAAATTTCATATGAACAATTTAATGAAAGAGCAAAAAAAAAAAAGTTCCCAAAAATGTGAAGGATTAAGAAAAAGTATTTACAAAGTGTTTATTTTTGAAAATCATTTTTTTTCAACCCGAATGCAAACTTCAAAATCCTGTACAAATTGTCTAGGAAAAGAATCTGTGATAATGTTGTAAAAGATGTCTGCCCATGAGCTAATAATCTGCAAATTGATATTGGAAAATTCATGACTTCAGGTTTCTGTGTAGATTTAGGATTTCAGTGATGTGTGAGAACCGGTGCATTGTTCAGTGATGGTCTTCATCAATGAGTTTACAAATTACTGCAACATTTTCTGATGTTTTGTTGGTGAGTGGTTGCTCTAAACACTCATTATATAGAACTGACCAGACTTAAAATGTGCTATTGAAAAAAACCTATGTTTGACCTAAAGAATGATTACCAGAAGCCTGATGAAGCAGTTTAAAGGTTTTCTGAGCTTCATGCAAAATTTGTTTTTGATATGTTGCTTGTAGTTGTCAGTCATTGTAAAGATTGTAGAGATGTTTCAATGCAGTTTTACAAAACCTTGCATATTTGAACATGAGTAGATAGCATAAAGCTCATTGGTAGACTGACTCAGTCGGCTGGATATCAATGAGCATTAGCTTTATGTGCACTTTTATTGAAGGTACTACCACAGCATATATAATGTGGGGAACTTTTTGATACCACCTTGTAGAAGGCTTCTAATTAAAGCAAAGTAATAAAAAACTTTATTGTATTTTCTGTTAAGCATCCCTGATTTGATGGTTTTTGCCAATTTAACTGTAGCTCAGTTGCTCAAGACATGCTATACCTTAATGAATACCTCCCTGGCTTTCAACCCAGATATGTGGAGGAAACTGATCAGGTGTTAAGCTGTGCAGTTGCCCTACAATCACACCCAGTCAAGGGACTGATGATGATGATATTAAGATATATGAAGTTATTTTTGATTTAAATTTAAATGAGTGCAGGGAAAAGATATTTCTAACAATTCATTTGCTTCTGAACCTGTATAATTAGAAGCTTCCATTTTAAACTATTCCAATTTTTGTCTACTGAAATGGGAACCAGAAAAATATCCTTCTGTCTAAGGTTGTAAAGAGCAGCAAAATATTGACTTGTGAATTCAACTCACCTTTCAGGTTACTTTTAGACAAAGGTATAAAAACTATAATTCTTAAAGGAAAAAAATGACTAGTTTTTGATACTATTTACTGTATTTTATTGGATCTTTCTTTTGTTTTGTCTTCTGAAATGACCATCTATTATACAGCAATAGGTAAAATTTTAGTGTTGCAAGCTATTCTTAGTGAATTTTTTTACTCCTGAAACTATCTTACATATCTATAAGTTTACCATTTGTCCATACTTAGAATATTGCTGCCACATATGGTCCAGTGCCCCTGCGATCTACCTTGAACCAACAATATTATTGGACCTGATCTAGCGGCTTGGCTCCAGTCACTTTCCTTCTCTATAATGTTGCCTTTCTATGTCTTTTCTATAAATACTTTCATTGTAATTGTTTAGATGAGCTTCTCACTATGGTACCTAGACTTTTTGAATTCTGGCATCAAGATCTCATCAATTTACAGTTTATCTGGCTAGATGTAATTTCTGTTTTCGCACATCTTGCTTGTGGAACTTCCTTCTGACTCTAAGCATTCAAGCCAACTTCAATCTCCAAAAATTTAAATGCAATGTCAATTGTTTTCTATTGTCCGCTTGGTTACTCTCTTTATGCTCATCATTAATGTTCCTGTTCTTAATTCCTCCACATCCTGTAACCCCTTGTGTTTTAGTGATATTACTTGGGGGTGATACTGATTTTTTATTTAAAAAAAAAAAAAAAAAAAAAAAAAAATATCTTTGTTAAACTTTCCCATAAATCTTCTACTCCTTGGTGGTGGAAAACAACTGATAAGTCATTCATCACTTGCTATGGTTATTTTTTTTAAATATTTTGTATTTGAAATATCTTTTCTAGATTGCTTAACTTAGCTCATAAAGTCGACAAGGGAGACCATGAAGTCCTTTCACTTTGTGGTAAATTCCTTACTGAACAGAAGCAATACAACCAGGCTGCTGAAGTTTACACCAAGATGGGAGATGTTAAAACCCTCATCAAACTTTGGGTTATGGCTAAAAAATGGGAAGATGTAAGTCATTTAATTGAACTTCATTTCTCTTGATATTTTCTCTGGATAAAACTGGTTTTATTTCTTTTAATACAGCTTAAACATCATTCTGTTTGTGTCACTATTTTTATACAAGTATAATACTGATTTTCTGACAAAGACTTGCTGGTTTCATATTAATTCTAGCTTAATTATATACCCCTCTGATCTATTGTTCTATCATCACTTGATAATGATGTTCAATATTTTTACCATTTTAGTTTTTCTAGTGATTCTTGAAATGACTGTTGATATAGAATCCAATATTTTGTTTGTTATATTTATATCATTAACAGTTGACTAATTAATGCCAGACATATCACTTACATGCAAAGGTACCATATTTTATTTTGTTTCAAGAGTTCAACATTTTCTTGGTTCAATGCAGGCTGGTATTTCTGCTTAAAACCTTCATTGATATTCACATATCTTTCAAAAGCCACTACAAAGGTTAACTGAAAGTAAGAGATCACTACACAAGAGTATTAGTACCATTGCATATATCGATCTGATAGTCATGAGAATTGTAAGTGCCCTTTAGCTATTTTGTCCTGACTAATAGAGGTGCCAAATTAAAAGTTGCCAAAATATGACAAAATCTACTTCAATGTTCTCCTCTTATTTGTTGATTAATATTATAACTGGTTCTCTTGTTTTCATTGCATGATTTCTTATTTTTTTTATTATTCATTGCTTAAAAAAAAAAAGCATGTTTGTATCATGAGATCCTAATGTTATCACATGATATAATACAAAATTACCATTTTTGGCTAAATGTATTTTATTTTCGCATATATTCTATAGGCCTCTGTTATTTACCTATTTGAAACTGAAATTGTAAAAATGTATTGGTTTATTAGTGGAATTCGCATGCCTCAACTGATATGAACATTTACAATCAGATGCTTTATATCTAAAATATACACTGGCTGAAGAAAATTGATAAAAAGAGGAACTGTGCTCAGTGTGATAAAATACTTATGACATGCATGCTATCCAAATTGTATGAACATCTATTGTAATGTCTATTATTGTCTATTATAAAATGTGTATATATAATTTTAAGAAACATATTTTTTAATAGTTACTAATAAGCAATAAGCAGGTGCAAGTAATATATCTATCAATCATATAATAAAATATAAATAAAGTATATAATAAAATAGTTTATTTAAAAACTGCATTTAAATTATCTACCAAATGCCTTTAAGCCCAAAATGATAATATTAAATATGATCATCATATATAATCAGTATTTCTTAGGAGACAATATTCTGATATGATGTAAAGAAACATTGAAATATAAACAAAATTATTCATATTTGTTTATTTATGAATCAAGGAAAGTTGGCTCCCTGTGCTGTGCCAGGAAATTTTTCTCCCCGGAATTGATCCTCCAGATCTACAAATCAACAATTCGCCCTTGCATGGAGTATTGCTGCCATATATGGTCTGGAGCCCCTTCTGTTTGCCTCGGGGTTCTTGATAGGCTCCAGAGGTGGATATGCAATATAATTGGCCCTGATCTGGCATCTTGTATACAGCCACTTTCTCACAGACGTGCCGTCACCTCTCTCTCTCTCTGTTTTACAAATACTTTTATGGCAATTGCTCCGAGGAACTGCATTCGCTGGTTCCCAGACGTCATGAGTTCCAGCGCCCTACGAGGCTGGCATCCCACTCTCACCCTTTCACTGTCGAAACTCCTAAATGTAGCCGTCTCTTCTACTCCAATAGCTTCATCTCTCGCACCTCTCACCTGTGGAACTCCCTTCCCTATTTCAGTTTCCCTGAGAGCTATAATCTCCAGCTATTCAAATATAATGTCAATCGACATCTCCAGTTGCCTTGATCTATCCACTACCCTTCTCCTCATCCTTTCTTCTATCACTCCTATCTGATCTTACTCCAAATTTTCTGTAACCCCTTGCGTCCTAGTGGCTTCCCGCCTTGCTTGGGGTGAAACGCTTAAAAAAAAAAAAAAAAGTATTGAGTTCTTACTAATAGGATATTTTACACTGACTTTCATCTTTTTTTTTTTTTGTCATATTCAAATTAGTTTTGTATAGAAAAGCATTAGAAATATTTTAATTCTGGATAGCCAAATATTGGCATTATTGGAGTTCATATAGTATAATGAGGTGGGATATGTAAAGATATTCAGGTATATTTAGGGAGAATAAAAAGATCAACACTGAGTAAAATATTTGAAATAAGGTTTGATTTGTTTATTGCCAACAGCTAAATACTTTCATCACCTGATGATGTGTTCTAGTTTTGAATATACAAAAATGAAAACAATGTGCAGGAGAAATAAGGGTTATCAGTTTGGAAAGTGGAATTGGTGAGCTGAGTTCACATTCTGATCTAATCTATTTTTTTCCCCACCTTGCACTAATTCTGCTGGGGCAGACATCAATACATCTCTTCTCCTCTCCAGATATGGATTAAATAGCAGTCTAGGCAATCTAGGAAAATGACTGCTCTGTATTCCACTTCACTATTTTTTCCAAGAAGTCATGGTAATTCCTAGAAAAGAAATCTATGGAGAGCCATTGTTGTCTAAATCTTAAAGGGACATGGTATTAAAAAAGAAAAATTATAAGAAAATCAAGCCACTTTTGACAGATATATGCATAAAATGATTAATATTTTGAATAGTAGATAATTATTTAAATACAAACTATTGTCCCCATCTTTGTTGTTGTTATCACAACATTTTGTCTGTTATGCCCTCTGGCTTTCACCAGGGGAATGACAATCACCTGATCATCCCATAAATTCAGACAGAAAATAGATGATTATTTTGGAGGTTTACTCTTGGTTCAATCTAAAATATTTTCAGTGTATTTCAGTGTATTTGTATTGTTCATTGAAAGAATTTTCCATTTCTCTGATTGATCGTTAATAGTTGCCACTTGGATTTTCTTCCTAATTCCAATTCTTCTAGGGTAAGAAGGCTGACTGGGATTGCATCCTCTTACCAGTGATATAAATAAAGTTTCTTTGAATCTATATTCTGATGTTTTCTAGACTTTTAAAAAGTCTTTCACTTATGTATGTTACGTAAATAAAAAGTTACGCTTTTTTAAAATATATATTGTGATTGTTTTCATTCCAGGCATTTACTCTTGTGGAGCAGAATCCACAATTCAAACTTGATGTCTATGTACCCTATGCTCAGTATCTAGCTGAGACTGACATGTTTGAGGCAGCCCAGCAAGGTATGTTGATTTAATAATCCTTTTAACCTGAAATACAATAAATTAGGCAGAATGCAATTCATTATAAAGGTAATTTTTAAAAGGATATGAGATTTGCAAAAGTTCTCCATTTCATTATCTATGAAATTATTATTGATGGTCATTAGTTTGTTGAAATTATTGCCCAAAATTATATAAATTACATCTTAGATAAATTTTATTTTAATAATTTGCTGGTTAGGGGAACTTAAAAAGATACGGATCAATTTATATATATTAAACTGAGCCTTAAATTGAAGAATCAGTTTATTATTATAAATTGATCTTTGCCTAACTCTGCTATAGATGTATAAAACAATAGATACTGCATTATTTGCATTCAATCTTTCTGTTTTATTCTTTGTTTTTTAAATGAGTATCTTTATGGATGTTAGTTATATATCCAGTTTGTGTGAAATAGAAGATGATTAAATTTATTATTTGAATAGTAAACTGATGGCTGACATTGTATATTTGAATTTATTACTACTTGAAAGTATGGTTTAACAAGTCATTTTAAAATGCCATAAATTGACATATACCTTTTTTGAAATGAGCAGACTGATCATGATATAGGCAATATTCTAATACAAAACTTTTTGTGAAGTTAGACTTCAATTTTTGAAAAACGTATGCATTATTTTTTTTTAAATTCTTATCCTTTAGGTGCTTTTTCTCATTTTGTAAATGAATTAGGATTTTGCCTTTATTCATTAATTTATTGCTCATGTTATAAAGATATAGTCTTTCTGAAAAATGATGTATTAAGAATACTATAATATCTTAGAAAAGAAATGTTGATGTTATTAAATATTTTGATAGTGTTTTCTTTTGCATGAAATAATAACCAAAAGCTTAAAAAACGATATGAAGAATATTTTACGCATATTGTTGAAAAGACCAGTTAATCAAAATAAAAGTGCCAAGTGTTGAAATAAGCTAATGAAAATATAATTTAGTTTACTAATCTCATTCAATCTCTGATTTGTCTTGACTGTTTTCATGCATAAGGATATTAGAATGATCCAGAATCTATACTGGCAGTAGACTGCTGGCATACTAATAGAAAATGAATTCAGTAAATATTGAAAAATAGAAATGGGTGTAAGACAAGGATGTGTCTTCTCACTGTGAGAGTGATTCTGAGAGAATTGGAAGTCGTACCAGGATTCATTATTGGCGGCCACAATTTTAACAACATAAGATGTGCAGATGACACAGTGTTGATACCAGACATGGAAGGGAAACTACAAAAAAGGTGGTAAAGGAAAGTGAGAAGAAAGGACTAAGCATCAGTTGCAAAAAGCCAACAAAAGGAATAGCCCAACATGCAAATTGGAGATACCAAAATCAAGCAAACGCAACAATTTAAATATCTGGAAGTGTTTTAACAGAGGATAGAAAGTGCAACAGCCAAATCCAAAGGCACATTGGAATAAAGAAAGTTGCCTTCCAAAAGTTAAGCAAAGTATTAAGAAACAGGAAAATTTCTTTAGGAAAAAAGAAGAGAGTACTGAACTGTTACATAATGTCAGTCCTTCTATATGGCAGGGAATGCTAGCTAATCTTCTTGCAGCAGCAGAAATGTGTGTCTACAGAAAGATGCTGAGAATACCATGGACTGAACATGGAAGCAACTGTAAAGCTTTAGAGAAAATGGTAAAAAAAGGACATTTATACTTAGAATCAGAAAGAAACAACTGAAATTTCTAGGGCATGTAATGATGAAAGTAGACACATTGAGGGCAAGAAGGACAGAGGAAAACATTGCATCATAACCTACCTAATGAACTTGTGTGAATGGATGGCAGAACAGAGATTACGAGAGATATCAAAAAGACCAAAATTTACTAAGAGCTACAAAGAACAGGAAATTGTAGAGAGCCATGATTGTCCATGTCTTGAAGGAACATGGCACATAGAAGAATTTCTGTGAGCTGAAATCAAATCTCCATTGTATAACATTAAAGTGAAATATAGTTTGATTATTTTGATATTACCAAGCATATTAGCAACCACTAAACTGAAAGACTATTTGTTCTATCACATGTTTCAACCTTTCTCAGTATGTTTTGTTTTATTTAATGAAGCATTAAATTTACAACTGAATAATAGTAATTTTTGTGTTTCTTTCTTTAATATCTTTATCTGGAAATCTGCTTGCATTGTAGTTTCTGTTCCAGTGATATACTTTATATTACTTTATATATATATATATATATATACTTTATATTACCAATGTTTGTTAATGAAGTGATTGCTTTCCTGTCTTTGGATTTACCATCAATTAATACATCTTAATTAATATGTTTACAAGATCAGAAAAGTGCAGCAGTTTCTTTTATCTCTTTTGATTTCCTTATATCTATTTTCATTCTGCTACTGATATAATCATTTTTTGAATTCAAAGTGTTAATCAAATAGCTCTAGATTAATTAAGTGTTCATGAGTAGTTGATACTGACATTCCAAAAGTCATGGAATATGTGCTTGCTATTATGTAAAACTGCCAGTCGGTGTCAAAGTGTTACAACTCAGTGTGAGTGAAAGAACTCTAAAGAAATGTTGAGCCATGCCATCTTGATAGATGTATACAGCTCCTTGATATTTTGTATGTGCAGGATTTTATATGCAAACGGGCCTGCACAAGTGCTTGATTAGGGTCAGGTCAACGAGGTGGCCACACCATTCATTCCTCAGAAATCTCCAGAATGCTCCTCAAACCAATTCTGGACAACTTAAGCAACCAACAATATTGTGCATTATTCTGTTGAAATAACCCATTACTGTTGGGGTATGTGGAGTTCATGAAGATATACAAATGGTCACAAAGCAGTGCTATGTGGCAGTCACTGGTAAAGTTAAACATTGGACCCAAGCCATGCTAACCCATGAATACATACCAAACCTTTATGAAACCATGGCATCGCCACACCCAAAAATATACCTTCAGCCTGAAACAACTGGAAATGGGACTCATCAGACCACACCACACATTGGCACTACTCTAGGATTCACTTAGTGATATTACAAGCCCAGGAGAGGTACTATATCTGGTATTGTGGCTTTAACTGGGGGTACTCTGGTGGGTCTTCTGCTCTCATATCCTATGGAAGCTAAGAATGATAAACTGACCTGCTGGATATATATGTCTGATAGCTTTTGCATTGAATGCAGATGTGATTTGAGTCAGTGTCACTTGTCTGTTACCACAGACAGTTTTAGCCACTGCACTCTCCATGAATAGTAATGCCTTGTATTTCTGGTAAAAATATGATACCTTAGATTGAGAGATGTCAAATGTTTCCATAAATTCAGAAACAGTCTGACACCCACTATGATTTCTGTTTGAACTTCAATAATTCATGTCCCCTACTTTGAGCATCCTACACTGACTCACCAGATGGCAGCGAACAACTGATATAGGTGTGGGCATTCCCATAATGTCAAGGTACAGTAGCACCACCTATCATTACCATTATTTACTGCTATCCCAATACTTTGGACACATCAGTGTATACTAAAGAATAGCACAAATACCATTTTCATTATCAACCTTCTTATCTTTCAAGTAATCTATTCTTGAATTAACTCCAAGCAACATTATCAACATGAGAAATGCAAGAGAGCAATACATCTGGTTTGTCTTCTGCTCTTTAAATGAAATTAAAACTTATAGTTATTTGCTGTAGTGTTTAGCAAATCAAAGTAGATTTATTTGGTGTTACATGGTCTGTATATACAGATATCAGTGTGCAAAAACTGTAACTTGTATCATTCAGATGAATCATTGGGCATAATACTGTTGTCTTTTTGAATGATTGCAAGTGATTTACATTTTTAGTAAATTTGAATGTGTCTCAATGGCATTAGTAGAGTTCTTCATGTTTAGACAAAAACATTTAGAAGAGATTAATTTTGTATATGATGATCATTTAGTTCAGTCATTGGTCAATATTTTTTTAGTAAAATATTTAGAGTGTGAAATGAAAGGAAAAATTTTTTCTTAATTCAAGTCCTTTTTTTTATTTATAATCTATTCATTGATGTCATGTTTATTATCACTTGAACAATTTTGACATTGGCACATATAGACATTATTTGATCAAATGAAATACATTTACCATTTTTTCTTTATAATAATAATAATAAGTTCAATGAAATTGTACATGATTTTATACTTTTTTACAATTTCTTCCAAGTGATAATTTATTTTTGGTATTTTATTTATTTTTTGTTGATTATTTAGTAAAACTTAAATTTTGTTCTGTTAATTTTAAGATAAATCTAGAAACCTATCACTAGATGATTTTCATGTTCTGGATTTACATAAGCTCAAGTTGGGGGCCTGAAATGGATAAATATAATTGTAAGAAATATAACTTCCATATTTGGGAATTATAGAGTAATTGCTCGTGGTTAAATGTAATTGGAAGAAACCCTGAATAAACAGTATTGACACAGTTTATAATGAATAATAACAAAAGAAAGAAAAGGGCAAAAATAATACTAAGTAAAAAATATATGCAAGACAAAAGTAGGCAAAGCAACTGTAATAAGGCAAAAAGTTCTTGAACTAAGAATGGTATTAACATGCAAATGGGATACAAACAAGTGATCTTAGTCTTCTGATTTCAAGACAAGAAACAACAGAAATATGGTGGAAGAGACTGAGAAGTGGTCTACCTTATTGGCTAGGGAGAAATCCCAACATGCATCTGTATGATTTATGTATAAATTTGTTCAGAGAGATGTTTTTGCCATCATTCCTATCAGGATTGAAAGCAAATACTTTAAATTTTGTTTGTAAGACAAGATTTCAGTTTAGAAAACAAGAAGAAAACTTAGCGCAAAATAATCAGTAAATAAAGATTGGAAAGGCTGTAATGATAATTAGGGAAAAACTAATGAAGATTGAAATTAGTAATAATATCTTATAAAACCAACTTAGTAATATCTGCATTACAACAAAGGTCCATCAATGGGCACAAGCATACTAACAAGTATGCATAATCTTTTCTTTTTTTTTTAAATTGTGAAATTGTATATTTGATACAAATCATTCTTGTTTCTTTTATTAGCATATCATAAAGCTGGAATGCCTGATGCTGCTATGAAGGTCTTGGAGCAACTAACATTTAATGCTGTCAAGAAGAGCAGATTCTGTGATGCTGGATTCTATTACTGGAAACTTTCCTTCCAATGTCTTGAAATGGCACAAGGTGAGATGATGAGAACCTATTACTTGTACCATTTCTGTTTCAATTTGATCTCTTTCTCCAGGCCTCAGGAATATCTCTGTCTTCTTCAGTCAAGTCTGTTTATGAATGGTGACAACACACTTGCCATTTGCAAAGATGTGCAATGGTTGGCATTTTCAGGGCTTAGTGAAGTTGATGGTTGTGCATATCAGAATTTTGGTTTTTTTCTTTCTACACTGGTTGCATTGGCCTTGGTAGCAACTACTGATCCCCTGTGCAATCAGCCATTCCCCAGAGCCTCATTGTATTTATTTTCCTCAGCCACATCTCACTACGAATAGAGTGACAACTGAGTCACACTCTGCCCAAAGACAGAGATGCAACTGAGAGATGATAAAAAAAGAGATGGAAAGACAGACTGACATAAAACTTTTATGTTCATCTGCCTTTTCGTCTGTCACGAAACAGGGCCATATTTAATGCTGATAAGACAGTGTGCTGGTACAGGTTATAATTTTTATTGTGATTATAAAATTTTCCAAAAAATATTTACAAAAATCTACAGATAGTCTAATTTAGAACTTTATTAAAATTAGACTTGCATAATAATTCTGATAAAATATGATGAATCTTACAGAAGAAATAACATTTTAATTTTATTCAACAATGAATAGAAATTGACCTTCACCTTCAAGCTACTTTGACATTTCTTGGTTAAATAAACCAACAATAAAAATATTTTTTTAAATGATGAAAAATTATGTAACAATGTTTGAGATCTTGGTTAGATAAATGAACAGTAACAATAAGACTTAAAATAGCTAAAACGTTATGTCCAATTTTTTTAAATTCAGAAAATAAGAGATGAAAATCAGTAGAAATAAGGAAGAATAGGAGACAACATTAACTGATATGCCAAACATGAATTACCTGTCATTTGAGCAGCTAAAGTGGAGAATTACCTTTCTTTTTTTTATTTATTTTTTTTTACACTGCAATTATGTTTTAGAATGTCATTTTTCTAAGTTGAGGTTTATATCATTTTCAGTTGACAACACATTCACAGTTAAAAGCATATTTTAGTCTTTGTAATCTTCAATGTCAATAGTGAAAATCTCAGAAAATAATGAAAAAAAAATCTCAAAGTTCAAAAAAATTTTGAACAAGGATCAAAAAATTCTGAATAAAAAAAATGTATGAATTCTTAATAAAAAATCCAAAAGATTTCAGATAAAAAAAATTAAAAAAACTTTACTAAAATAATTCAAAAAATTTTTTACAAAAAATAGAAAAGCCTAAAGATCAACATGATGTTATTGTAAGATTGTTCAGAATCAAACTGACAAAATTAATCAAAACAATAAGTCAAAAAAATGGTAGTATCTTTGGAAAAACAAAAGCCGACACTTACATCGTTGAATGGCAGAATAGAGGCTTACGATATGCACACAGTCTCTTTTGGGTAGAGAACAGGATATATCCTCAGGATATTGATACAATCATTAGGGCTGAAATACCTGATCCTAACTTAGATCCTGAACTATATGAGATTATCACAACACAAATAGTTCATGATCCTTGAAGTATAATGAACCTACAAGCACCATGTATGAAAAATAGACAATGTGAGAAATGTCATCCAAAACACTACATTAATAAAACTAAAACTAAAGTGAAAGGAGATATTATCTGCTGAAAAAGATCACCTGAAAATGGAGGAAGAACTACTGTCATAGCAAAAAATAGGGAAACTGATACAATTGATAACAGATGGATTGTTCATTATTCTTCTGTTCTTTCAAAATCCTTTAAAGGACATATTAATATAGAAGTAGGCTGTTCTATTCAAGACATCATATACATAATGAAGTATATTACTGGAGAATGCAATGCAGCTATTTTGAAACTAGGAGATGCTAAAAGAAATTTAGCTAAAGTTCACAACTTCTTAACAGGAAGATTCATTAATGCAAATGAAATTGCTTACAGGATAGAATGTGCCATTAAAATAAGTTTTAACCTAGCTTGCTAGTTTAAAATATGGTTAAAACCACTTTTGATTATAGCAGGAATCTATAACCATTATTATTTTCTATAACCTGTTTAATCTACTAAACATGTACTATTGTCTATAAACTGTTAATGGGATTCAAAGTAAAGTAGATATTGGTAGATACACCTGGTCTTCCTTTATCGTTAATAGACCAGGCAGGATTAAATTTATTATTATATTACTTATTTTTTAAAATATACATGTGAATACATTTATTTACCTAAGAAGTAAAATACCAATATCTCTGTCTATGATCTGAAGATTGCTTTCAAGCATGAAACAGATTGTTGCAGATTTAGTATTGACCTCAGTATGCACTTTTATATTTATATTCGCTCTATTTCTGATATTAAGCACTTTTACACATAAATATTACATACCATAAAACTATATATATATATATATATATATGTGTGTGTGTGTTTGTTTTGGATACACATGAAACAACCCAAGAGAGATATTTTTTTTTATCATTTCACCCCCAAGCAAGGCAATAATGTCACTAGGATGCAGGGAAGTGAAAGAGAATGAGAAGATATTAGTGAGGTGAGGAAAAGGACAATAAAGGAATAGGATTTAGAGAGACAAGATGGTGTTTGAGATTGCATTTTGAATATTGTTGGTGGCAGGGAAGCGTGTGGGAAAAGAAACTATTAGAATAGAACCTATGGTTGCATCTAGCTATTTCAACAGTAAAATGGTGAGATATAGTTGCTAATTTAGTAGCACGCTTAAATTTGTTCAGTCAAAGCACTAAAGAGAACAGCTCATTAGAACAATTGCCATGAAAATATTTGCAGAAAAGACAGAGAGTAACCACATCATGTCTGTGGGAAAGTAACTGAAGTTGAGATGTCAGGTCAAGATCAAATAAATTACTGACCTTAATTTTGTAAATTATATTGAGATATATAATAGGAGCAGCAGACCTGACACTGCCGCTGTATTCAATGCATTGGACAAATGGTAGATTTATAAATGTGCAAGATGGATTCTGATTAGAAGAATTGTCTGGCATAACTCAGTGAACCAATTTTCCTAGTAGCAGACATAGCAATTGAGTCAATATAATCACTTGACTTCATGTCAGTGGAAAACTGGAGTCCAAAAGAGTGCAAAGTGATGTTCTCCTGGAGTTTAGCATCATCCATGCTGTTAGCAAGCAGAACAGGTGATTAAATTAAAGCAGTTTTGTTTTGGAGGTGTTAAAGGCGTGGTGATTAAATGAAAGCAGTTTTGTTTTGGAGGTGTTAAAATTTAAAAGCCATTTCTTGCGTCAGGTAATCACTAAATTGGGGATCTTTTTTGAGATTAGTTGCTGGTTTTACTTTGTTGGATCTGTCAGACTTGCTACTAAGACAGCAATAAATAGTTATGTCATCTGCATAAATATATATTTGGGAAATGTGTGTATAAAATATTTAACGTGCATATAAGATAATAATAATAAAATATTTCATAGATTCTTTTCTGCTGCTGTTAAGATCTGTGAAACCATTTTATACATATATATTTGAAAAAAAAATTGAATAGTAGCATTTCTAAAATGCTAGGATCTAGCCAACAAAATCTTGGCAGTTATTGATAATAACTGAAATGGTTAGAAGTACTTAAACAAAAGAAAAACAAAAATATGAATATTTGAAAATTGGAAAAATACGATAAAAAAAACTAAACTGACAGGCTTGTTGGTTGAATTTAATAAACATTGTTTAAATGAATTCTTGCTGTCTAAATATATATAATTGTACATTTCGGCAGCAAATATATATATTCTTGCATTATGTTTTGAACATGAAACAATTTGATGTCTCGTTTTTAGTGTTTTTCTTCATTTTCTATATTTTATTTATTTACTTTTCCTTTCATATATTTAAATTTTTTCATCTTTTCTTTCTTTCTTTTTGACATTTTTATCTTCTCTTGACTTTATTGTCTCATTCTTTCTCTCTTTCTTTTTGTTAATTTATCCCTTTTGTTGTTTTTATTTATCACTTCCCTCTTGTCACCCATCTCCTGTTTTGCATTAAATTTTCTTTTCTTTTTTCTTATATGAACACAAGAAAAAAAAACATATATGTATATATATATATATATATATATATAGATAGATAGAGAGAGAGAGAGCACTAGTTTTTTTTTATGAAAGCCTAAATGCTGTCACTAATTTTTATAAAATAAACCATTACTTTTTAATAGTGCAAAAATGTAAAGATTTTCTTTCCATTCACAATCAGCTTCACCACCAATGATACAACACAACACTTTTGCAAAATAATCCCCAAAATTGGTTTTTCTATGTTTATTTTTTTTTTGTTTCAAGGACTAAAACATTAGAAATTGATTTAAGAAACATCACACAGCAAATCATGCTTATTATAAAACCCAGGTTGTTTGTGTGTGTGTGTCTGTGTTCATTTATATATGGGATTTAATTTCCTACATTTTTCAACCGATTTCAACAAAACATCACTTTTTTTTTGGCAGGTAGTGTTTTTATTGTCTTGCACACTTTTTTTTCTTTTATTTTTACATTCAGAATGCTTTAAAAATTCCATTTACAAGACAATTGTTTATAATAAAATTCTATTCAATCGGTAGACTCATAACGATTGAAAACAATGTTTTTGTTTGAGTTTGGGTTCGACCAATTCATAAAAAAAAAGAAAAAATAACCAAAAAAAAAAAAGAAAAAAAAAACTAATTAAGACATGCATGTCCGTCAACCTTAAACAATAATCTTTGTCAATTTTATTTTTCAGTCTTTATGATGGTCGATACTTGGTCTATCTCTTACTGTTACATCCCCGGGCTCTACTGCTAGTATATCTATAAAAGCAATGATTATTAGTTATCTGAACATAATTTGAATGTCTTGAATAAAAATTTTGAACAAAATTACTGTTTTCTATTTTAGAAGTAAATAGATCAAGTTTGCTTCATACTAAAATAACTTTATTGAGCACTGTTTTTTTTTTTTTAAATAAAAATAATTGCTAAGAACCCCAGATTATAAATTTTACTGTTCTTCCTTATTATTTTAATATATATATATAATTTTTTGAATACTAAATTGAATGTGGCTTGGGGCAACAAATTATGAGATACTAACCTCTAATAATGTGTTCAGAATGTTAATTTTTTTAAATCTTTTTTTTATATGCATTCAAGGATGCAGAAATGTTTTAAATAGTAAATAAAGTGTTTGGAATAATATCTTTTTTGTATATATGTCTTCAAGAATGCAGGTTTGAGAACTATAATTATTTTTCTTTATGGATGGTTGCTTAAGTTGGATGTAAATAGTTTTATTAATATTTACTCCTTTTTTTTTTTCTTTTACAATTAGACCGCTCCTTTCTCATAATATTAGAATACTTTATAAATGTAACTGTAAAAAGCAACTAGATAATAGAAGACATTTATATTCAACTTAAGCAGCCATCCATAAATAATAACTATAGTCTGAGGCCCTGCATTCATGAAGGCATATAGAAAAACAATGTATATAAAGAAATATTATTCAAAACAGGTTATTACCCATTGTTGTCACATGACTTGCTGCATGAAGCTGGATTCAATTTTGTTTTCAATATATATATATATATATATACACACACACACACACACACACACATGTGCATGCATATATATGCATTTTAACTGAAATAAAATAGGATGGCGTGTTATTTAAACATCTCTACAAATTCACACATATTCCAAACCTGAAGAAGTCAAGAAATGAGGAGAAGACAGATTTGAAAACTAACAGAAACAAATAGCCATTTCAGTTAATACATCAGACACAATAATGGGATTCTGCTCTGCTGTCTCCAGTTTTACTTCTTGCTTTCTTACCAGATTTAATAGCAATTTTATGTCAATTTCATTTTTTATGGCATTCTTTCATAACCACTTGGTCTGTATTTATTACAATCCGTGCTCAGTAAATGTTATTTTTTTTAAAATTGCAACTTTACTCTTATGACTGTCTGTTTTTTGTTTTTTTTTTCCAGATGACCCTAGCAAGGAAAGAGACTTGTTGGACAAGTTCCGTGATTACCAAAGGAAAGCAGAAATATACTATGCTTACCACTTCATACACAGATATGTGGTTAGTGTTAAGTCTTAAATTTCTTTGTTTTTTTTTTTCCCATACATTCAAGGTTCTATGGCATCTATCCTGTAAGCATTTGTTACCTTTGTGAATACAGTGATTATATTAATGTGGAGGGGGAATGAAAAAGAAGTTGAAAATGCAACTTGAGACATTATTCATTAGAAAAAAGCCATGGAAGCTGTAAAATAGGAGAAATATGATATATGAACACTATATATTCAACAAATAGAAAGTAATTGAATGAGAATATGAAAAGATTCTTTGTAACACATTTTGTACTTCAAAAGGACTTCATGAGATTAAAATAACATTTGTATTAATAGAATTATATATGTATGGAGAGGGGGTGAAATACAAACAAAAACATTGGTTATAATTATACATTAATAGGAACGCTGAAGAAGTAAGGGTGCAAAACTTTAAATTTTTAATTTCTGACATCTGATGTATATTAGGCACATGGTATAGACAAATTCATTCAGCATCCCAACATTTTTATAGTTTGGTTTTTAAATATCCCACAATGTGATAGCAGTAGAGTTTGCCAAGAAGGACGATAGCACTGTGATAGCAGTAGAATTGTCGAGAAGGACGATAGCACTGTGATAGCAGTAGAATTGTAGAGAAGGTCGATAGCACTGTGATAGCAGTAGAATTGTCGAGAAGGACGATAGCACTGTGATAGCAGTAGAATTGTCGAGAAGGACGATAGCACTGTGATAGCAGTAGAATTGTCGAGAAGGACAATAGCACTGTGATAGCAGTAGAATTGTGTAGAAGGTCGATAGCACTGTGATAGCAGTAGAATTGTTTATAAGGACGATAGCACTGTGATAGCAGTAGAATTGTCGAGAAGGATGATAGCACTGTGATAGCAGTAGAATTGTTTAGAAGGACGATAGCACTGTGATAGCAGTAGAAATGTAGAGAAAGGACCCATAGCACTGTGATAGCAGTAGAATTGTGAGAAGGACGATAGCACTGTGATAGCAGTAGAATTGTCGAGAAGGTCGATAGCACTGTGATAGCAGTAGAATTGTTTAGAAGGACGATAGCACTGTGATAGCAGTAGAATTGTTTAGAAGGTCGATAGCACTGTGATAGCAGTAGAATTGTCGAGAAGGATGATAGCACTGTGATAGCAGTAGAATTGTCGATGGACTATAGCACTGTGATAGCAGTAGAATTGTAGAGAAGGTCGATAGCACTGTAGAATAGTCAGAAGGTCGATAGCACTGTGATAGCAGTAGAATTGTCGAGAAGGTCGATAGCACTGTGATGGCAGTAGAATTGTAGAGAAGGACGATAGCACTGTGATAGCAGTAGAATTGTCGAGAAGGTCGATAGCACTGTGATAGCAGTAGAATTGTCGAGAAGGTCGATAGCACTGTGATGGCAGTAGAATTGTCGAGAAGGACGATAGCACTGTGATGGCAGTAGAATTGTCGAGAAGGACGATAGCACTGTGATAGCAGTAGAATTGTCGAGAAGGACGATAGCACTGTGATAGGAATAGAATTCTCGAGAAGGACGATAGCACTGTGATAGCAGTAGAATTGTCGAGAAGGATGAAAATTTTTATATCAAAGCTTTTGAAGTATAAAATGTATTACATAGAAATTTTCATTCAATTTGTACATTATACCCAATGTACAAATCTGTACATCAGACTAATAATGGGAAATTCTATGACAAAATGAAAACATACTCCTACATTATGCCTTTTGTTTTTTTCAAAATGACTTGTTTTATTGATGAAGCCTTATATATATGTTAGTGTTTGGGGAGCAAAATCAACTAACATCAGATACAATTTTACATCAAGAAACACTGAAGATACACTAAAAATAACAATGATAAAAATAAAATAAAACAAAAATTATAAAGTGACAGAAAGCTAAATGAGGTTGGCTAGGTTATGCCTCTAGAGAAATCAAATGCCAAAGAATTAAAACATTTAAAGCTATGTCTACCTATATCTTTAGTGTTTCTACATCTAAAATTGTAACTGGCATTTTGTATTTTTTTCTATACATATAAGAATCCATAGAAAAGACCATTAATCTGAAGAAGTCCTTTTGAAGGATTAAATGTGTAATGTAGTTATTTTTTAAATTTTATCATTCAATTATCCACTAAAAGCAATATGTTTATCAATATAAAGCATGGAAGGAACCATATGTCTCAATTTTTGGATTGTTTTGTTTTTAACATTCTTAAAGTTATTCATTGTGTAGTGAGGAAATACAAGTAAACATTCCCACAAATTCACTGTATGTAAGAGTTCCTCAATATCTGATTGAAATAGTATATCTTGAAACTGAGGATCATATAAGCAAAAAAATAATTTAATAACAAATCTAAATTATTGTGAACTGAAAGTAGCTACCTCCTCCTCCTCCTCCTCTAAATGCACTGCAGTAACAATTATTCTATAAAGACTTCAGTTCTATGACTGGCTTTATTTGTTGTTGTTGTTGTTGTTTTTCTTTATATTGTATGGAGTAAGAATGAAAAATGAATATTCAATACCATTCTTTATAGATGTTTCTTGGAATGAACCACAAGGTCACACTTATCGAGCACTCCCCGAGAAGTGACCTTATTAGATGTGACCTTTGAAACTAGGTATTTGTTACTCCATTGTGCTATAGCGCCTATTCACAACATTTGTAATCTCATTTTTATGCTTTGTGTTTCAGGAAGAACCTTTCACATCTCACATGCCACTGTCCATGTTCCACATGGCTCGTTATTTGTTGCATCGTTTGAATGGAGACATTCCAGTTGGCATTTCCAAAGTGTATCCTTTTCTTTATGTAGTTTTCTTATTTTTAGTTGGCATTTACTATGGCTCTTTCTATGGTCCACAAATATTCTGCTTATAACTTGATGCTGTACAAAGCGTTTTCTGCATTTATTCTCTTCTGTTGCTGTCCTACAACTTTCATTTCAAAAATCAGTTTTCTTAGACTAAAGATTTCTTGTCACTATAAACATTATTTTTAGTGGGCATTATTTTATGTTGATATCATTGTTATTTTAAACTTTAAAATGAATGTCAATCAGCCTAGAAGTAGAGAAATCTTTTCGAATGAAAAATATGATCCAAACAGGAATTGAGTCTGTATATCCTTTTTTTTCTGTCAGAGAAACCACTTCTTTAGCTGAATTGTGTTTTGCTAATTAGATCTTGGGAAATCATGATAAGGCAAGGTTCAAATTACCTAAGTAAAGAATGTATATCTCTCACTGACACCTCTCAAAGTCTATATCTGCTGTCTTTATTCTCATAAATGAAAGGTAAAAAAAACTAACTAGCATTTAGGAAAAGAGCAGCTTCTTCCCACAGACTGCAGCCTCGTGGAACTGACTCTCAATAGGATGCATCGCCAATCACTACAATTTTGACATGTTCAAATCTAGGGTTAACCTTTATCTTCCCCACATATCTGCATAAACTGTACCTCTTACTCTGTAGCCTTCTACCTTGAGTGGATCCCAGGCCTTGTACTGGATGAACATCATTGTAAAAAAAAAAAAAAAAAAAAAGATTACAATGTTATACAAAAAATGATCCAGCCATTTAATATAAAAATTTTCCTAGAGCAATAAATCCATTGAACTAAAATATTTTTCTGAGTATTACTAAAATCATCTGCCTCCTATAAATGTGCTCTCTATCTAACATCTAAATATACATCAGTATTTTCCTTCAGACCTTGTTTCCAATTATGAAAGTGTAGCAAAATCCTTAAATTCTGCTGTTAAATCAAATAAACTCTGGGAACATTTGTCGCATTATGTTTTGCAACTTTTGGACTGAAAGAATGAAGTTCAAAAACAATCCCCCATGTTTTCCTGTATAGATGCTTTTCAGCTTCACCCTATTTTTCTGCATCTTTCTGATTTACAAATTAAGAAGGTCCGTTGAAAAACAAAACAAATGTGCATGTTTTATAAAAGTCAAAGTCACACTTATTGTGTTGGCTAAAAAGCTCATTCTGCCTTTGTTGTTAGAAGGCATGAGGATTATTTAAATTTGGACCTAGGGTCAAGATTGTTTTTAATCACTGAATTAAACACTTGCAGATTCAGCTCCATACAAGTGTGAATATGAAAGTAATATATATATATATATATATATATATATATATATATATATATATATATTTAAAAACACAATATGAATAAAGACATAAGGAAAACATATCTTAGTCAATGTATTTTGTCCTCTGATCGATTTTATCAAGGCAAATCTAAGGATTTTGTTTTGCAACAAGTGTTTATAAATAAAATCAAAAATATTGTTAGTTTTCAAAATTTTCAAATTTAAGAAACCCTCATAAATATTCATCTGGCTAACTGAAAAGTCAAGTAAATTATGGAGAATTCTGAATGAAATCATTTAATGTCTAATAAACAAAGTGAGTAAATTTTTTTTTTTTTTAATAATGTAATTAATATTTATAGTATTTTAATTTGGGATTAATTTATGTAATATATATTCTAAGTAATAGAAGGTTATGAATTTAACCGTTTTCTTTTAATTTTGTTAACATTTTTATTGTCATGTATGTTGGCTTGGGAAAGTAGTAATTCTTTCAGGAATGGAGATATATATATAACTTCATAATCTCCAAGTATATATATATATATATATATATATATATATATATATTTCTGAGAAATAAATGAACACAAGTTTTAAAAACCATTATAATACAAAAGTAAGCAATTGTGAAAACAATAATATATATTTTGAAACAAATTGGTACAAAATGGGGTTTATGAAATTACAACAAATTTTCAATTGTTCTCTCCATTTTGTTGTATAACCAAGGTTGCACATTTGATCAAATTATTGACAGACTATTCCTAACTTGAGGCATGAACTCAGCTTCTAAGGAATGTCACCCACTTGAAGGAATATCGTGCAGTGTCTTTGTGATTTCAAACTTTTCTATCAGATTAGTAATTGTTGATAGAGCAAAAGGATCCTGTTTTAAATTGTTCCTTGTTTTATAAGCTTTCATCATTGCTGTTACATTCTTATGATTCAACAATTAAGTACAATGATGAAAACTTATTGTACTGGGTGAACATCATTGTAGAAAAAAATCTCAAGTTATGGATAGTCTCTCGATAATTTGATCAAACTGCTGAAACATTGTGATAGCAACAACAAAATGAGGACAATAGTCTAAATATAAATAATGTAAATAGAGATTTCTTGTTCATGATGTTCCATAGACAGATCAGTTGAGAATGATAGCAATCAAATTTATGTAAGAATAATTAATGTTGTAGGATGTAGGAAATAGCTAACATACACAAACTCAAAACCATACCAAAGTCTGGCCTTCATCCAAAAAAAGTAATGCTGTATTTATCATGGGCTTGAAAAGGGAATCCTTTATTATTAGTGCCTTGTAGAGAACCAAATGATTGATTCAAACAAGTACTGTTCCCAGTTAGACTAGTTGGAGGCAGGAATCCATGAACAGTATCCAGGATTAAAAGAAAGGGTATAAATATTCTATCAGCATAAAGATAGACTGTCTTTTATTGATGACCAGATAAAAATTCTTAGATCTTGGTTAGATATTCTGGGGATAAATTAAATCTCTGGAAAACTAATATATAGCACAACTCTTTGCTGAGAATAAGAAAATTATCAAGTTGTTTGAAAAATAGAATCTTATGGTAAACATGTTATTCAGATAATGTCAAAAATAAACTTTGTCTTTGTTTTTTCCCTGCTAATAAACCAAATTAAGTTTCTGGCTACTCAGTATTGCCTTGAGTTATAGAAAGTGTCAATGTTTTTGGCAGTTAACATGAAGCTAATAGAAAGAAGGATTTGATGCCAATAAAGAGTGCTCTGTAAGCTGGAATGATGATATTAAAGTGTAGATGAACTTGAGAAATGAAAATAGATGAAAACTTAAAAAAAATAGATCGACAGTAACAAAAAATAGATCGACAGTAACAAAAAAAAAGATGAAAATAATTATTTTATTTTTGGTTATGAAGACTATAAAGAAAAGTTAATTAAATTGTTTTTAATTATGAAATTAGCATTTATCTTTCCAAAGGTTTTTTAAACTATTTTTTCTTTTTGGTTTTGTTGTGGTCACAATATTTCTGCCAATCCATTTGACAACCTTCAACAAGTATGAAATCCATAAGAGGAAGAAACTGGGAGCAAACAGAAAAGAAAAAGTGACAAATTTATGAATCAAATCAGCCGATTCCCAGTAAACAAAAGCCAACAGCAAGACTTTGCTTATCTTGAAACAAACTTGTAAAAAGATTATTTTCTAAATTATTTTCAATGTCTCCATAAAGAACTTATTGGATATGTTAAAATTTTGTGTACAGCCAAAATGTTTCATGCTTGAGCCAAATATTTATTAACAGGAAGAATGCTTAGCTAGGGAATTTTTTTTTTGGTGGTCTTTTACGTCTACATGGAATTCTGGCCTTACAAACAGTTGAAACCTTTAATCCTGTTTAGATATGTGGATGATTAAATTATACTCTGATTCAACCAATAAGTTGTACAAGTTCTGTATCAGTTAGACGATCTACAGGGTGCGATGGTTAAATTATCATCTAAATGACACAAAAATGAAAATAGCACTGACATCTTATTTTAGCAGATATATTTACCAAAATTACACAAAAATGTCTTGAAATACTAAAAGTAAATTTATTCAATAAAATCGCCATTGGCTTCAACCATGGCCTCCAGATGACTTCAGAATCTCCTGCAACTCTTTTGGATGGTTTCCTTGTTTAAGTTGGTGAATGATGCCATATTCCTTGCCTTCAGTTCATCTTTATTGCTACAAGGGGTTTTGTTGGGCCCTTGCTCAACTGTGTCCCACACAATAATCAAGGGGGTTGCAGTCTGGGGAGTTAGGTAGCAAAGATGTATATGGCGATGTAGTTGCAGAAATTGTCTGACAGCCATGACTGGGTTCATCTGCTTTTATGACATGGTGCAGAGTCCTGCTGCCAGATATAGGGTCTTCCAGGAGCCACCCTCTTGACTCAGGGTATTACTACCTCCCCAAGGCACTTGTAGTAGGCCTCCAGGTTTAGTCTGAGGCCCTGAACATCACTAGTGGTCACTCCAAACACCTTTGTAATCACCATCAGATGCATTGAACTCTTTCATCTTTGACAACCAAACACTCTGAAATGTTTATATTGGTGCTTCTGGCATGAATGCCAAACAGTACAGCATGTTGTTTCCAAATTTGTGGTGGAGTGAATTGTGTCATGGTGCTCTTTTTCTCACAGATAGTTCCCAACTTATCTTACTATACTGTGCAGTTGACAAAATCAAAAACAAAGAACACACATGAATAAAATTAAAAATATAAAATGGCGACAATTTACCCATCGCGCCTTAATATAATTCACGATGAAAAAAGTCTACTCTGGTTTCACCACCAAAATGTTCAAGTTCTGCTCTATTATACTGAATCTGTGAGATCCTCAATACACTTTATAGTTTAAAAAGAATACAATAGTAAACTTTCTTCTTTTTGGATGTCCTTGTAGTATACACAGAAGTGGTTTTACAATTTGTATATGTGGGCAGTGTAATAGAAATTGTGGAATCAGTGAGCCAAGTCCAAATTCTGTGTTAATCTCACTTTTTCATAAATGCCCTTAGGAAAGGCATAAATCCATCTTTTCTTCCTTCAGCTATTTTTTAAATAGTGGGGTAGACTGGGGTCTCTAGCCTTGGTTGACAACTAATCTAGGAGAATGTGAACATTGAATTCCAAAACATAGAAAAAGCAATGGGAAGCCACTTCACTATCTTTCTCAAGAGGTCATAGCAATTCACAGCCATGATCACCTACGTCCA